TGGTGATATTGCTCGGTAGACCGACGATCCGAAGAAGAAGGTAGAAGCGTCCTAATATGAAAGTGGCACAGTCGCGTACCGTTTTTATGTGGGGACGGAATGTCATCCCTCTGTCGCGGGTGACGCCTAGATACTTGACCTTTGAAGCCCACGATATGGGCTGGCCAAAAGGCGTGATGGGGCGAATGGTGGAGGTGTTAACGGGCCTATTAGAGAGTAGGCAGCTCGAAATAGTATTCAAAGGGCGACCCCTTTTGAAGAGCACCGCTGTGCTTTTCGTGGAGTTGAGGAGTTGATGTCAATATCCGAATGTTGTTGTTCGGAACTTGTATAGTATATGCAAGCTTATCTTGAAAATGTCGTAAGCGAGATTCAATCATCTATCAAATATCTTGTGTTCTGTTATGGCTACCGCCACACCATCTTTAAGAAAGGTGAAAATCCTACCCTGAAGCCGTTAAATGGGCGATATTTAAAAATGTACTAGCTAGTAAAATATATAGTAATTTTAATTTACGATCTAAGTGCTATTAAACTATTTATTACTCCTGTAAATTATACTGTATCTAGACAGTAAATCCCCGATTAATATAAGCTTCATAAATAAACGAATTAAAAGGGCTTCATAAATCTGAAAAACCATTTCGGCTTAATAGAATTTCAATAATGAAATCGCAGGACATAAAATACCCATTACGTGTAAACAAATAAAATCAGATTACCCCTTTCGAATAACAATAAAAATATTTCTGTCTTTAAATCGTGTAAAGGGATTAAATTTCGAATGGAATTACCCGTTTTCGAAGTGGCACGGGGTCCGATATTCGTCATTTTTATGTGCGGTCTTGCTTGGTGTAACCAAATATTTGTATTGTCTGTGGACGACTAACGCGCATTTTTCGGATTTATTGCGAACCTTTTTCTATTAAGTTTGGATATAAATCGTGGACGCCGCGCCGTGGACGCACAAATATATTCTGACGCAATTTTGTGATTGATCTTTAAGCTTTAAAGCCTTTAGGGTATTTTGTTGTGACACCAAACCGACTTTAAATCAGCTGATTACAATATTTTATTGTTTTACTATACGTTGCGGCGCGCGCAATGTACTTGATGTTTTGGAATTTTAAATAGGCATGTGACTAAACCGTAAAGGTACATTGAATTACAGGTGTCGCTCATAAAAACATATGACTATTAGATTGAACTCCGGCAGCTAGAATACAGCTGTATTAAAACATAATCTAGTCTTTCAACTAGCTTTATATACATAATATAATAAGTTTTTTTTTTATTGCTTAGATGGGTGGACGAGCTCACAGCCCACCTGGTGTTAAGTGGTTATTGGAGCCCATAGACATCCACAACGTAAATGCGCCACCCATCTAGAGATATAAGTTCTAAGGTCTCAAGTATAATTACAACGGCTGCCCCACCCTTCAAACCGAAACGCATTACTGCTTCACGGCAGAAATAGGCAGGGTGAGGGTACCTACCCGTGTGGACTAACCTGAGGTCCTACCACCAGTAATAAAGTTTATAAATGATGAACCTCCTGAGGATTGTGGCTTTTTTGGTACTCATAATAAATTAGATTTTGTGATGAGATTACTGTTAAAAATTTCTTTTTAAATTTGAATAATTTTTAAGTAACTTGGAACAAATGTTTTTATGGTGTATTTTCTTATTAGGAAGTACGAAGATGACCTAAGATAATTAATGAATATCTTCTGTGTAGACTACAGTCTTTCAAACACTATATTTTACAGCATACAAAATACATTTTAAGTATGATGCTATGACGACTCCATTCATTTCTGTTTTGCGTTTCCTGAGGCGTTTTTTGCAAATATGTTTGTAATTTAAGATCGCAACTTCCTTAAGAAGCTCGATGATCACGAAACTACAGCAATCCACAATACGCTTCAATGAATACAGACCGTGTGAACATCAAATATTTATCGCGGCCTTAATTCACACGGTCTACAAAGACAAAGAATTTCTCAATTAAAATCACTAACATCCAATGCCCGTGGACGAAATCTGAAATCGCTTAAACTACAATTACCAATGCAAAAACCTACCTGACGAGAAACGTACCAGTATAAAAATACTTAAGAAAATAAGACCAAGATGCAAAACGGGTTGTGTCTCATTCCTAACTGGATTCGACGATGGGAACGTATTGGGAAAGAACCATTTGAATTGTAGATTGACTTTTGTCGCATTGTGTATCCAGCCTTATCTTAATGGTAAAGTGTTGTGTGGTCGAAATTGTTTTGACGAAGAGTTACGTTAGATTTTAATGGTATAACTGTTCGGTAGAATGGCTGATAAGTGTGATATACGAACATATACGAGATAAAATGTTAGGCAACGTGTTAAATAATTTATTTAAATTTCGATCCAAACTAAAGAGGGATCAACTTATGCGATGATGCCGTGAAGGCGGGCCGTTTTTTTTTGTCCTACCTAAGCTGATAGCCTTGGGAGGCTATTTCAGCGGAACCTTAACTAGTAGGTGAGCTCACGGGGCTCAAACCTGACGACGTTGCTAACACGAACTCTAGCAAGAGCCGTGCTTCGCAGAATCTACCACCGGATCGGAAACGCGGCCCACTGAGAAGATCCGGCGAGAAACTCAGTAGGCTGTGTCTGAGGGTTGGGGGGCAGACCGTACGATTTACGTTACGTTTTATTGCTTTTAAAGGCATCTGGCGGCGAGTGATCTCTTTCATATGAACATTACCTATGCCAAAAGCACAACCAAGCAGCTGCCACTTAGAACTCTTTGCAAGCCTTGTCTGAAGAAAGTTATGTTGTCCAAACTATGTCGAGGGGAATATAATTCACAGCCGGATTCTTCGTGATAAAAATGAAGTTGTAATATAAATAAGTGGAGCTGTTCTAGGTACTAAAAATGGGTTCAGCTCTAGTGGGGGATGTTGCGATGATAAAATAGAGATGACGGGATCATCCCCAAACATATTTCTTCTCAGAACGTATTCTTCCAATTTTCCTTGCCCATTTCTTAAATCTTTAGGTTTGCAATAGCTTCGTCTTTCTTCCACGCTCTCTAGGGCAATAAAAATGCTCCTCGTATTTTCAATGTCGAGGGAAGGACGCGTGGTTAACATCATCACCAGGTGTTCGGTGTAATACGTCCGAACATCTTAGTAAGCAATAACGCCACACTGCACGTTTATTTAAAGTTGCAGTTCATCAGTATCAACAGTTGTATAACAACCTGGTTCCGCGGAAGTCGGCTCCGGTCCTCGCGACCGTATTATTACGTAACATTTATTAATTAAAATATTAACATATAACAATAACATTTAGAACATAGAACATTTGTAGAGCATAGAACATTTTTAGAAAATAGAAAATTTGTAGAACATAGAACATTTGTAAGTGATTGTGTTTTTTTATGATGCCATCACGCGTTCCAGTCTAATTCATAAACTAGCCAAGTTTCATTGAGAATTCGACGTTATATCTTAAGGTGGGTGACGGCATCCAAATTGTGATTATTACAAGCTCCGGTGACCGATTATCACCAACTGCCAAACTAGGAAACCCAAATGCGTTTGTACCTCACACGCGGGAGAAGTGGAGTCCTCAATAAAATTCTCATATTCATTTTTATTTTTATCTTTTATTGCCTTTACAAGCAGTAAGCATACAGCCCACCTGATGGTTACCGTCGCTCATGGTCGTCAGCAATGCCCAATTCTCTCATAGAACAAATTCCATAGTCATGTCTGTCTCTTTTTAGTGTCGCTTTTTTGTTTTATCGAACCGTAAACCATGCCGCTAAAGAAGTTTCCACTTCGATAACTATTCAAAGTATTTAACCCGTACGAACTAGAAATCAATTGTTTATAATTCATACCTTAATCAAACCATCAAGTATTTTTTACGATGAGCGCGCATCGTGACACAAAATTAACAGAATGAAGTTGCCCACTAAATCGCTCATTACAATACGACCGACGTAACTTGGCGAGTCTGAATATAACCGCAGGTGAACTTTCCGAATCGTACCGAGAATTACCGAATTTATACGATGTCAAGAAAAGGGATGTCCAATATACGTGTTTGAGGATGTTGTTAAATCGATTTTTTTTCAAATTGATTAAAATTTAAATAAAACAAAAGAAATAAATTTAATAAAAATAAAGTACATATAACTTCTTACGCGCCTACATAAGTACTTGAACCTTTTTTTTCTTATCGTTTTGCTGGAAGAACTAGCAAGCCCATCTCGTGTTACCCGCTTACCGGAGCCTATAGACATCTGCCAATTAATCACAGAAACCACCTTGCAATATGATGTCTAAGTTCCTATTGTAACAGTTCTCCCACTTTTCAAATCGGAGCACATTAATGTTTCGCAGCAAAAATAAGCATAGCAATGGTGGTACAAATATCAAATTCTCTTCTCACAATTAAGATTTCTAAGAAACTAATTTTTAAAAATAACTGCTGCTCACTTTTTATTTATTCGTTTATTTCCTTTTACCGGCTTTAAAAATAGGGATCTTAATTCCGGTGAAGACTTTTGTTTTCTTTTGTTAGCTTAACAAAGCGTTATTATACTCGGCTTGAAGTTTCTGGCCTTTTGGTGAATCAGGAAACTATTATATTTCATGATTTTTTTTTAAATCATGCACTCAGTACTTTTACTCGTTATTTCAAATTTCGGAGCGATAATTTAGTCTTTGAAGATTTAGATGATTGATTATCCTATTATCCAAAAAATGGGTATATATCGAGCCCAAATAACTTAAAATTGAAAATATAACCTTTTTGTTTAACATTTAAACTTCAGCCATTGTGCAGGTTTTACAATAGTTTTATGGTGCCGGTCAATTTTATTTGTATCGATTTAAGGTTGAATTTCCCTTGGCGTTGTTACAGTTGATTAGTGTTTTACACCTGCCCCGTCCAGATGCATTGTCAGTTCCCAAGTTCATGCATCGTTCGGGCCAGTTTGTGACCAGACGTCTAGGAGTGTGGTTAATTTGTTGTGTTGTTCCGTGAAACTTTAGAATTTTAATTGGAATTCGTATTTAGTTTTTGGATTTATATTTTCTTTTTTTTTGCAGGTATTTATTATCTTTTTTTTTTATTCTGTTGGCTTTTAAGTAAATTCCTTTTAGCTGTCGGTTTATTTGATTCAATTTTATACATTCATATAGCGGATAAGCTAATTAAATATAAATTCAATATTATAATAATCGTGTACATAATTATTAATGTTCATTCAGAAGTTCTGTCAAAAGTTCTTTATGGTGTTACGTTCTTTATAGTTTGATAGTTTTTGACAATGGAGGGTCAGATTTAAAACGTGGTAAAACTAGATTCAAAACAGATATCTCTGTTTAAATGAAATTTCTAAAGTGTAATAAACAACTTTTAGAATATTCTCGTTTGAATTATAATATTGATGTAGCACGTGATATTGGAATGAAGAAATTCAGCTTTTGACCACGTTACCATTCGAGAATTCTATTCGTTTTAAAGACATTATTATTATTAGAAGATTTTTGTCTAATCCTCATATATTTAAAACCATTTTAAAATAGTGATATACTCCAAATTTTATAGAAATACATTGTCACCTTTTTAACTAAGCGCATCCGTTTGTAGGCGAGTGTTTTTTTTGTTTTTTTTTTTAAATACCTCGAAATTTCTAAAGGCTTGTGTACATGTGTCTACATGCATTACGACATTCCATTGTACTGGTAGCATTCAAGTGACGAACTCTGCTCCACTTACGAACCCTTTGTGATTTAGATTAAGACTGCCTTAACTTTTAGTTAATGTAAATGGGCAAGGCTGCCTACGGTCCAACCGATTTTAAGTGGTTACGGAAAACACTACACACCTAAGACAGCTGTGGGGAGAAATGTGATAAGTCTGAATTATTTTAACGGCTGTTCCTAGCTTTTAACCGGAACGCGCGACTGCTTCGCGGCAGCAATAGACAGGATCGTGGTATTTACCCGTGCGGGCTCACCGTTCCGGGCGGAATTTTATTTATTGTTATTCCTTCATCGTAAAGTCAAGTATCAGAACAATATACCTACTTATCGGTAAGAACTTGCTTAGAAAAATTCGCGCAATGTACCTATTTATTGTCGCCTCAAATCAATCGTTCTGGGACATACCTAGCAGCTACCATTAACAGCTTATAAATTAGATTTCGTGTTCAATCCTGCGTAAGTAACAGTTTTATGCCAAATATCACAATTTAATTGTCACTTAAAGAAACGATCATGGTGTGTCGAATTATAGGAAATTACTTAACAAATTAAACTTCCTCATTGCTTGCCTGAATGTTTCTGAAGGCTTAAGAAAAAAAAACACGGTCCGATTATTATCACTAAATTCAACTACAGATCTGGCTTTATTTAAGTAACCAACATCAATTTAAATAGTAGATTTCATAAATAGCTCCCACGTGGTCGTGGCTACTTACAAACGAATTATAGCAGCTGATCATTGTAATGAAATATCGTTTTTAATTTTGTATTGGACTCAAAATATACGACGACTTTGTTAAAAATCATTAAAATATACTTATTTCTTCACGGAAATCGATCGTTTGACCTACAGACAAAAGTAATTTGACTGAAAAATTAAGTAAAAAAACTACACGATAACAACTCAGGAACTTTGTTTTTTTTATAACTCAACCTAATCAGACTAGCTTACGGCTCAGCTGGTGTTAAATAACTATTGGAACCCAAAGACAGAGATGAAAAATGAGAGAAAGACGTCATGAAATTAAATTCTCAGTTGTATTTTAGAACGAGTGTCTCAACCATAGATTTGAATGAGGAACTGTCAAAAGTTTTTGTAAGATGACGTTTTTAAAAGCGGCAAAGGGGATCTTTGCATGCCTTATCTAAGCAAGTATACGAGCAATCGGTGATGAAACTACAGACATCCATGCCTTTTTTCTTACCAATAAAGGCAGATTAATCTTCCGTCTTCACAGAAGAACCACTGAATTAATACTAAGGACTATTTCCAAAGCCGATTTGTAGACAAGTGATCGTGAAACTCTAAGGAAGATTGGTCCGTTTGAAGACCGTATAATACGTGAAAAAAAATTATTTATTAGTATCGTTTCCGTGAACTCCATTGCGTGTTATTTATTTCTTGAGTCCTGTAAGATAAACTTTAGAGTTGAAAACAGTCATGCTATACCTTGCTAGTAAAAACTCTCTAACAGTTGAACCTTACAGTTAAAAGTACTTTAAAATAATTGTACTCATACATAGATTCAATATGACAATGGTATTCTCAAACGAAAATATCTCTCGGCTTCATAAAGGTCACTAGTCGAACGAACAATAAGACATTGTTATTATAACGATGTGACCAAGTGCAGCCGGGCGTGTAAACATAGTTATGGAATTCGAAGAACGGAAGACTATTGTCTATTACATATATGTATAGCTATGAATATGTTATATTAAGCTAAGTGACTGGCAATAAAGGTATTTTTGAACTATCACGGGTAGCACTTTTTATAGTCTATATATACATAATAACACATGGACAGAACAACGTGACTACCGTTTTAAGTGCTCAACTTTTCTTTACATTTATTGCGCAGTTGGGTGGATGCGCTCACAGCCTGGTGTTAAGTGGTTACTGGAGACCATAGACATCTACAACGTAAATGCCGCCACCCGCCTTGAGATGTGAGCTCTAAGGTCTTAGTATAGTTACAACGGCTGCCCCGCCCTTCAAGCCAAAACGCATTACTGCTTCGCGGCAGAAATAGACAGTGTGGTGGTACCTACCCGTGCGGACTCACAAGACGTCCTACCAGCAGTAAAAAAAACTCATCAAGTGAGCATTTAAGATTGCAAGTATTTTCTTTATGATCTTTATAGTCAAACGAGCATACGGCCCAACTGATGATGAATGGGTACCGGCGCTCAAGGACGTCAACAATCAGACAGATCACTGCATAAGTAATCGCATTAGTATTTATGAAACGACTAAACACGAAAGATTTTTTGAAGTGAAACTTCTTTATCGGCGTTGGAAAAAAATTTACCGTCACATTTTTCGGTTACGCGTCACATTTTTCCGTTACGCGCCATCTTTTTTGTATTCATGTCTATGATAATAAAATCCTTTTGTTTAAACTTTATCTAATTTAACTTTTTTGTATTCATGTCTATGATAATAAAATCCTTTTGTTTAAACTTTATCTAATTTAACTTTATTTAACCAATTTCTAGAAAGTTGCATGTAGATCATTTTTCGAAAAATAAGGCCATAAAGAAGTTTCACTTCTTACGTGTGTACACTAGTACACGCACACATTTTTTTTATATATAGAGTGTTTGTCTGTCTGTTTGGAACGCCAACGTTTCGAAATCGACTGTTCGGAAATTATTCTAATTCAAAATTTCTTCAAATCATCGTTTGTTGAATTCAAGTTTTTATTAAATAATTGTTCTTAATAGTTAGTAATAATTAAATGGGTAATAATAATAAAGGTCGAGGGTCGACGTACACTTCAAATTGGAATTATAATTATTTTGCGACAAAGAGAGAAATAATTGTAGAACCCATTGCTGCTTGTCTTGTGAATTTTCATCAGTACATGAGGAGCTAGAGGATTAGTTCTTAGTGAGATGGTTGAAAAAATAGCAGAACATACTATCCGGGAAATAGCAGCATTTAGCTAAAAGTCATAAACCTGCATATTTTTACTTAATAGTCTGATATTGGGATCATCTAACTAGAAAACTTTATAGTAGTTAAACGAATGTTTGAACGAAATGTTTAACGACTTATTGCACAATATTGGTACAGTAGAATTTCGATTCATCGACGTAACTGCCTAATTATTATTGATACGAAAAACCAGAAATTAATGCCCTAAGTCATTAGTTGCGAAATCTCTCTCTGATTACTTTGTTGCCATCGCATTCAGTCTGCAAAGAGTCATGGCTTCGATACATATTGGAATACATGTTCGAATTATCGGATCTATCGTTTTCACGGATCATTTGAAACCTCTGGGCTACCGGAGTGACTTCAATATCCTCTGAACCGGTTGTTCCGTGAGGAGTGTTGTGAAGACATGTTTATATCATATGGTATTATTTGTGAGCCCGCGCGGGTAGGTACCACCGCTCTGCCTATTTCTGCCGTGAAGCAGTAATGCGTTTCGGTTTGAAGGGTGGGGCAGCCGTTGTAACTATATTTGAGACCTTAGAACTTATCTCTCAAGGTGGGTGGCGCATTTACGTTGTAGATGTCTATAAGCTACAGTAACCACTTAACACCCGGTGGGCTGTGAGCTCGTCCACCCATCTATGGAATAAAAAAAATATATACCATCACCCCACCTGCTAAAGAAGCAGAGCTCTTCTCCAAACGATTTTGGGAGGTGCTCAGCGGCTTAGCTGTAAGCAAGCTGACATCTATGAGCAATGGTAACCAATCACTATCAACTACCTACTAGGACAATAAACAATAAGCTTATTACAAATAAGCTGACATACAAACGGCGAGCCACCCTTATTCTGTGTGCTTAGTTCGAGTTTTTTAACGTTCTCGATCGCGTAAAAGTTAACTCAAATTTGTATGCATCTTTCAACTCCTATAAAATGTTACAATATTAATGATTAATTACCGTTTGTTCTGATTATTACAGGTAACCGGGAAACAAACATGACAGAAAACAGTACGAAGGAAAATCTTCTGCAGCCGACTACACTACAAGAAGCAATAAATATTATTAAATTCCTGAAGACATCACACAAACAAGAAATAGCGAAACTTAAGGAGACGTTCGCGAAACAGGCAGAAGTCATAAAAAAATTAGAAACAAACAGAAAAAAGGAATTGGAATTTTTATCTAGCGAGCTGCAGAAATATGAAGTGAATTTGGCACTCAGAACTGAAACGGTAGCCCAGCAACTAGCCCAGAAAGATTTGACAATAGAAAAACAGGCGCAGATTATCGAAGATTTGAAACAGAAATTGGAAATTCAGAACAGTCATAACGTCGGTGTACCGGAAATAAATATATTGGTGGATTCTAATTCAGATTCTGGAGTTGCTTTGGACAATGATGAGAGCACAAAAGTAGACGAACAAAAAGCTGAATTGAAACCGGTAAGAAAATGCAGTAGGAGGTTCGGAGAGACAATTAGTTTCTTACGTCGAGTGGATTTCTCTCCCATGAAATATAAGCCGTGCAGTCGCGATGCGAATAAGAAAAAAAACGAAAAAAACAATAAGCTACAAGTACCCGTAGCCGATAAAAGAATGCTTCACCGTCAATTCAGTACTGATAAGTCTTTCAGTGATGATGATAGGTCCAATAGAGATAATTCCATCTTCTCAGATACAACCACAGAAGCTTTAGGGATCAGACCGCATAAGATGAACGATAGTATGAATAATCATTTTTCTGATGATGGAAGCGAAGATACCAGTGAAGAAATATTCGACAGAGTAATGACTAGAAGCAGTATAAGAAGATCGGTCAAAGCGAACCCGAAGTACAAGAAAATCAATAGAACTAAATCGAAACTTTTGGAACAAGTAAAAGTTAATATCGTTGATTGAATTGCCATATTTTACAATTAGTAAAATAATTATCCGTAAGCTTAACAATAATACTTGTGCAATGTGAATAAAAAAATCCTATACTAGTTACTTTGTTTCATTTTGTTTCTTTTGAATAATATATTGTGTAATATTTTTTTGTGTAGTTTGGCAAACGACCGAAGTATATAGTGGTTACCTAAACCCAGCGATATCACAATGTGAATGTCACCACCCACCCCGAGACATGAAATCGAAGGTATTGGTAGGCAGTGGCTAGGCTCTGCCCCTGGCATTGCTGAAGTCCATGGGCGACGGTAACCACTCAGCATTAGGTGGACCGTATGCACGTCTGCTTACAAAAGCAATAAAAAAAATCGAAGTCTGAATTGTGTTAAATAACAACCGATCCAGCCTTCAAGTCAGAATGCATAAGTGCTTAACAACAAAAATAGGCAGGACTGTGGTACCTATCAATACAGGTTAATAAAATAAGCCCTTAATAAACCTTAGTCGCCTTTTGCGACATCCACACGAAAATATGGGACACTATCCTTGGACATCACACGGTAAAATTATATACTAAATTTGCTACAAACATATTAGAAAAATTCTAAAATAGGCACTTTTAGCTAATCATTCTCTAAATCGGTTCAAATATTACATAACTTTTCCAATAACGCTTTTGACAATCTGCCTAAAAATAAAATTGGGATCACACGAAATAAATTGTAAAAGTATTGAAATAACATTGTTATTCAAGTTTCAGACTGTCCGTAAACAAATTCGGGATCGAAAGGTCGATAGGGTCACGGGGTTGTAATATAAATCATACCGGTCTCGTATACCGGAAAATAAATAACTGGCCTATTGATACTGATGTCTTTATATGTTGGAAGTCTTGTGAAAAGTTTAATACGGTATATCTCAAGCATTGTATAGTTTTTTATTAAGTTCGGCTGAATCCTCCGTAGGGTTTCCAAGGCTGTTTGACGGACGTTTTAAATTAGACAGTTAATTGAACCGCATGTTAATTTTATTATATACAGCAAAGGGCTAATTCCCAAATAAAAAAAATACAATCGGTTGTCTGTAAAGTCGGTTTCCTGACGATCGTTGAACGTGACAACGTCATAAGAAAATACTGATGGAATGGTTTCATTTTTCAATTATCGCAATTATCGTTGCTATAAACAATTGACTCCACATTCACTTTTCACTGAACTTCATACTTGACGAAAACATGTAAATGTATTATTGTATAGCAGCTGTCCACGCGGATGCATCGCTCACTCAAGTAGGAGAGAGACAGATGTCGAACGCTGCCGAACGCGGAGTGCCTCTTTGTCGCTCGCTTCGCGCTCTCGCTTTCACTTCAAGCCTTAAGTGGAACGCCTCAGAGCGAGGTAACGCCGCATGAGTCATGTTTTTTCGTACGTGCAGCCGGCTTCATCGAATTATAAGACGTTGTCACGTCAAACATAATAATATTTAAAATAATATCAACACTATTGATTGCACACAAGCCGTCGTACACACTAGAATGAATACAGATGTCAGAATTCATACCTAGAATACATAATCTAGTTCAAAACTGAATAGTGCAAAGTTTCTACTCGCAAAACCTTGAAACACTTTATTAGTTGTTATGACCTAAAGTTTATAAAGACCCGAGATGAGCTCGTGTCAAAGATGCGACAATGCCATGACTTAAATCAGGCAAGAATACATTTGTTTAAGGCAATGAATAGCTCCTTAATATTCACACACAATTTCTCCGACAGTAAAACATCTTATAATACAAATCAAATACAAAAAAAATAATAAATTTGCGTAGTCACCAATTGTAGTGTCTATTATGTGGCACGCACGAGTACTTAACCAAAATAGGTACGAGGATAGGTAGGTCCCTATTTCCGTCTTGCACATTCCAGTGTAATGAATGGGAAATACCGTTATATAATATGTACATTAGAACCGAAAGCAATCTAAGGCAAAAAAATCAAACTACTTCTCCAGTGTTCGTACCATATTTTTTAACATTAGTTTTCATTTGACTGAAGTCAAGCAAATTGTCTTGTTTAATACCATCACGTCTGGAAGCCACCTCTTTAAAATGAATTCGCCAAGCACGTACTCCGTAAATATAGCCATTTCTACAAACTACAGATTAAGTTTAAGTTAGCTATAGTAATCTTGGTTGTTTGATAATTGTAAGACTTGAGATAGCGAAGTTGAAATTTATTCGTTGGCCAATTGAGAATTACTAACGAGGTTACCTTTACGATGTGTATTGTGTAACAAAATATTTAGATTGCTACTGCGACTAACACCTTCGATGACTGTTCAAAATTAATTTTTATTTTTATTTTTATTGCTTAGATGGATGGACGAGCTCACAGCCCACCTGGTGCTAGGTGGTAACTGGAGCCCATGGACATCTACAACGTAAATGCGCCACCCACCTTGAGATATAAGTTCTAAGATCTCAGTATAGTTACAACGGCTGCCCCACCATTCAAACCGAAACGCATTACTGCTTCACGGCAGAAATAGGCAAGGCGGTAGTACCTACCCGCGCGGACTCACAAGAGGTCCTACCACCAGTGAGAATTAATCGCAATAGGTCGATTTATTTTGATCTTTTTAACTTTGATTTTGATTTCAGATATAGCTGGTACTCGATTACTTGGCCTTTTATCACCATCCAGTCTATTTCACTCGCCAATTACTGTGTTATGTATAGATAAATTATACAATTGAGATTTCCCCCTCACCTCAAGCTAAAAAACCTAATAAAAATCGAACCTGCAAAAATTGAAATTGGTGATTAATTACTATACTATTGAAACAATATACCTCAAGCCTCAAGGTGCAAAGCTTACTACTGGCAAACGAATCACAATCGATCGCTTAAGTCACATGTCATTATGAATATTTTAAACACGCCAGCAGTCAAATCTAAACTCTGATGCCTAATGTATTTAGTTTTCACTACGAAATTTTCCACTCAATGCTCTGCTCATTTTCATTTCAATACTTTTATAAATTTATGCTATAATAGTTAATTTTGATTGTCAAGCTCTATCCATGGTTTCTGCCTATTTATTGTGTAATATATTGTTATTGTTTCTCTACCATCTTAATTTTTTTCGACGGTAAACAAGATAGCACTAATTTTAAATTTTATAGTATGTATGACGTCATTTGAGGCCATAATATCATCTGTATAAAAAAAAGTAATTCCATGTTGGTGTTTAAGTGATATTACACTCTTATGATATGGTGAACAGACTAGAACATATAAAATAACCACCAAACTGTTTTAGTTTTGTAATAAAGGATATAGTGATGGGGAAAGCTCTAGCAAAAGTTTTACAAATCGTTCTCGGATCGTTGTGATCTCCAATAGCCCGTATAATGCACGAGGCGACAAGACGCCAAACTTTGATGCTCCACTTTGGCGATCTCCAACTTTAGGCTGACTCTAAGCTGATCCCGGCTTGTACTGAAAGCAAAATAACCGGCATCTACGTTAAAGAAAATTATTTTGTTATTGCTTCTCAAATTTGGATCACTAATATTAAGACTCGAATTATGATTTTGTTTAAAGTGAGGTATTTGTTCGAGACGGATGCTCGGAATCTAGTTGCGGGTACTTTTTTTTAATGTGTACATCTGGATATTGACAAAATTGGAGATAATTGGAGCGGTGGAATGTAGAACGTTTAGTTATTTGTCACGGAAATATTGATTACTAAAATATGAATTTATAATTCGGTCAATGAACTGCCCCAGCCGATTTTTATATACATGGCACATCAAATAAACGAACAATGAAAGCACTTTGATAATGAATACAGCAAATATGCTAGGCATTGACCGGATTATGTCATTTAACATTGATGAAATTATCTTATATGTTAATCCAGGTATTTGTATGCCAAATTTATCCTAATCAGTTCAGCAGTTTTGTGTCATATAGTAACAAACATCCAAATATCCAAAATTTGATATTTTTAATATTAGCATAGGGTAAATAGAAATTTATTTAAGTATGTGTACAAGAAGTATATATACTATTTATTTTCATTGAGTATAGTAAAAATGCGTGATGATGTAGTTTAGCTAATATAATACCAAAGGTTTTAATAGACAAAGATATTGTTGTGATTTTATTTGTTCGTGCTGTTTATCCACGAGAGGGGGCGAGCGATAAATTTCTAACAAATATTTGAAATAAAATTTCGAGAAACTAACAGCCTGGCCACGGGACATTCGCCGATGCGAATATTCGCGCGGTGCGAACGGCGAAGCGTCTAGCGACTAAAACAAGCGCATAGAAATGTACCTAACAAGCCACGCGCACCGGCGACCGGCGAAGCGACCGGCGAAATGTACCGAGCGAATCGCGCGATGCGACGGGCGAGCAAAACAAATGCATGAATACGGACGGCGCGAGCCACGGAGTCGAGCGGTAGTCGCGGCGAATAGTGCAGTGATTAAATAAGTTTAGTTGTTTTCGCCGCGAAAAATTAACAGCCTGGCCACGGGACATTCGCCGATGCGAATATTCGCGCGGTGCGAACGGCGAAGCGTCTAGCGACTAAAACAAGCGCATAGAAATGTACCTAACAAGCCACGCGCACCGGCGACCGGCGAAGCGACCGGCGAAATGTACCGAGCGAATCGCGCGATGCGGCGGGCGAGCAAAACAAATGCATGAATACGGACGGCGCGAGCCACGGAGTCGAGCGGTAGTCGCGGCGAATAGTGCAGTGATTAAATGAGTTTAGTTGTTTTCGCCGCGAAAAATTAACGCCGAAATTTTTATATTTTTTATTTATTTTTTATTTTATATTTTTAAAGTCGTCGTGGCCTAACGGACGTCCGGTGCAATCGTGTTGAGCGATGCACCGGTGTTCGAATATCAGGCGGGTACCAATTTTTGTAATGAAATACGTACTCAACAACACTCAACGTTCACGATTGATTTCCACGGTGAAGGAATAACATCGTGTGATAAAAATGAAATCTTCAAAATAATAATTTGCGTAATTACTGGTGGTAGGACCTCTTGTGAGTCTACACGGGTGGGT